CAAACTTAGCATCAAAAGCAAAATAATACGCGTCATCTTCTTCCTCCGCCTCTTCTTTAGTATCAGAATCAAAATCATTAGCATCAGAAACAAGAAAACTGAGAGTCAAAAAAAAGTGAGAGTCATTTTTGCAAGCCCCTCTGATTATGTAATAATGTAAAAAAAACTAGAACGCTAAATTCCCCCCAAAAAGGAACAAACATCATCAAACATCTGGATTCTTATGGATTATTGATTATTGATGGTCATGAGTGGGAAACGCCGTGAGCGTGGGAGATCCAACGACCCAAGGATCTCAGGATTCCCTCCTATCGATGGCGCCAGGAGGGTCCAAAACATCCGAATGTGGAGGAGCTACGTGGATCCTGCGGAAACCGTTCGCACAAGCAAAAGAGGCTCCAGCAGGCCCCGATCAGGCACACTTGTGCTTATGACATGATGCACCCCAACACGTGTGGCCACAGTGTCTGAGGACCAACAAACCATGATCAAAACAGAACATTTGCCTCGAGCCAACTCTTGCGAACCTATCAAGTGGTTTCAAGTGTTGTTTTTGTGTTTTTCCCCCACCTCTCTGAAGGGTAGCATCACCGAGACAATGTAGCGCTTCTCGTTCACCTGTGCCCAATCATGCGAGCGCGAGGGAAAAGGCAGCACGGTTTGCTTTTTGGAAGGGAGGCTGACTTTGTGCGATTCGTACATAGCAAGATTCTGGCTCCTGGTGTAGTTCTGCAACTGCCAAGTCAAGTATAGTCAAGTCACCTCAATATAACCTTTGCTTACAAATGTTTCCAGGATAATATCCCCTCAGTCCACACAACATTACAGTAGGGACTGGCACCACCAAAATGACTGTCGACATTTGTCATGTTCCTGGACGATGTCCGCCATGTCCCCCTGTATAGATGCAACTTGGTGTTCATGGGATGTTTTCTTGTCAATCTTGTCACTTCGATGCTACTTGTTCTTTGTTGTTGTACGCACTGTCGGTTCGCTGGCTGCCTGGCTTTTAGGATTCAAGGATGATATGAGAGGACCCTAGAAGTTTCGGAAGTTTTTGCGCCTTGGCAAACCATGCCAAACCCCTTCCGCCGCTCGCTACTTCCGCCGTTCCGCTCGCAGGGCAAGCTCCACCTCAAGATGATGGAAGCTGCTCAGATTCCAAAACGGAGATCCATTCCTGGTGCGCACCAGCAGTGAAACGGTCATTGATTCATGGTGTTCTATAAGTCTGTGAATTGCCTTGTTTTGCCGGACAGATTCGTTCCCTAATGAGCATCAGTACTTAAGAGCAGATTCATGGCAAAGGTGGATCCGACGAAAAGGGCAAGCATCATGCTACAGGATCAAACTGGTAATTTGGCATGATGACTTATATATATATATGCATATTCTGTGTTCATCCGTGTATACTTGTATGCCTAAATGGTGTTCATTGAGAGGTGGCTTTCACTCATGTCACTCCACTCAAGATTACAAACAGAAGCAATAATAATGAGGATAAACATGGATAAACAAAAGGCCACTATACTCTGGGTTGGACTCTGAAGGGACACACCCAACGAGCCGCCAGAGTGAGAACCCCAAGGATGCAGGATTGATCGTACCTTCAAGGCTTGTGTCTTCCAAAACAATGTCTTCAGAGTGGCCAATCTTGAAAGCCCTTTCCAGTCCCCGGGACAATTCCCTTGGAAATGAGGGACGTCTACTCCTGCTAAGCCGAGCCTCCCAGCAGCCTCCCAGTGAAGTCTTGAATCTCCTGACCCCGAAAAAAGACATACCCCTCAGGCTCCAACTATTGTATATACTTCCGATTACTTCCGTTTCGAAGGTGCTTGGGCTGGCTGCCGGGAAGGTCTAACATGGTCCAACTACCTTCTTTTTGGATGTTGCAAGGGGCAGCACACGCCTGGCTCGTCCGTTTCCCGTGGGTTCTAACAGTGGAAAAGACGCCGTGGGCCTCCGTTCGTTGAGCAACAGCGCGAACGTGTTGCTGGCGGAAGGCATCGAAAACTTCCTCCAGGCACAGTGAACCCACGCAGCTTTCGCCCGGCACAAACGCTGCAGTGACCGACCTCCTCCAAGCCAACATTTTGAGGATTTAATATGGATCTATCTATTTTGACCTTAAGGCCAAACCTTCTCCGATGCTTGTGACCACCCCCGATGCTTTTTGCCGAGAAAAGGAAACGTCGTCGACGCTGCCGCCACCGATCGATTCAGATCGACCTTCGCCTCTTGGGCCACCTCGACCGGTCAGGAAAGAATGCATCGACCGGAAAGGACTGGGTGTTTTTACTTTTTGGATACAACGGGGGGATTCATTGATCAGTCATGGAGCATCAAGACAGGGCAACTATGCCACATCCTATGGACCTGAGCTGAAACAGATTGGATCTCCGCATCCACACCCACTTGAACTGGCCTGGCTTGCGCGCAAAAGACACGCAGGTGCTCCAGTTGATCCCCATTGAACTGTTGATTCCGCTCGAAGTCTGGCGAGGTTGAGCCGAGGTGAGGATGACTGGTCGATGACTGGTCGACTGGGGAGTGGTGTGCCGGGGTAGGGCTGGGTGGAGTAACTGGTGCCGGAAAGGACCTTGATCGATATCTGGGGATACTGGCCTTGGACACCGCTTTGGACTCAACACAACCACTTTGGACGCAACACACCCCACCAGTGCTGCGAGTTTGGCAAAAAAAGAGAGCAACAGTCAAATTCACGGCCATATGACACGAAGGTGTAAGGAAAAGTATAGTATACGATACTACGGTCTTTCAAGTCTTTCAATAAGTCGTCAATGGTTTGTCACTGTTTGTTTCAAGCCGCCACTTCCAGCACCCAACAATCGCACACACCCACACACCCACACACACATTCTCACGAAATGCACACAAAATTTCTATAGCAGCAACCTCATTGATCAAAATACCAACCAAGCTTAGTCACAACAAAGTGCCAAGAAGTCAATTAAAAATTCTATTTCCAGTGGTTTCAGAGGCTCGATGGCACTGGCAGCCTAAGAAGTCTTTTGCATGGGGGTCCACTACTCAGCCACCGAACTTCGGACCAGACAGTGCAATCTACTCTGACTGCCACTGCCACTGTAAGTGTATCTCTATTCCCATGTTCCCAAATGTTCCCAGTTTCCCCCTCAAAGAACACGTTCAACTCACACACCTGGGGAACGTCTTGGCAAACGTCTGCATAGGAAACAAGCGCCAAGCGCTGTGTCTAACATGGCACCAGTGAGGAGTTCCAAGGTAGATTTGTCTCAGAGTCCATGACCATATCTTAGAAACAATTAACATAATAATTAACATAACAAACTAATAACTAACATAATAAACTAACAATTATAATTAACTAATACTCTTCTTAGAAACAATTAACATCATTTACTATAGCCCTTTAGGTGTGTGTGTGTGTGTCGTGTGTCTCGGCCTTTGGGCTGCAAGAAGCGACAGTTTCGGCCCAAGACCTCAAACGGTTCGGGCGACCAGGAACCGCTCCAAGCCAGGTGGTTTGGGGGGATGATAGGTCTGATGTGCGGGGCATCCCGGACCCTTTTCGGACCCTTTCTGGGTGTCCCTAGAATCCAATGGTGGAAAGCCCGGAAGATCCTGAAAGCCTATTGGTGAAACCATTGGTTCACCAATGGTCTTTCCAAATGGTGACATGCATCGCTCCAACTTGGGCCAGGTCTTTGGCTACTAGGAGCAATCGGACGCTACTAGGGGCTCCAAACGGTCCCGGTGGCCCGTGGCGATGGCTCAAACAGCCAGGGGCCTTCTGTAGAACTTTAGAACCAACACAAAGACCTCTTTTATAGGAGTCAGCACATATGTAGGATGATACAGTGGTATACTCTGTTCAAAAACGAACAGTCAACATTAGGTGACATTAAATAGATTTTAGGTTAACATACATCATTGTCCTCTTGTATGCCTTGTGACGCAGCTGCTAATCCGTGATGACATGTGTCCAAAAAGCTCCTCTATTGAGATGGCTTTGAGGAGAAAAAACAGGAATTCAAAACAACCAAAAAACAACTTGTATACAAATGGGAGTATAGTTTAACGGTAATGGACTGATTCTATAAGGACAATTCAAGAAACAAAACATTGACAAATCAATCAAACAAAAACAACATACAAACTAAACACAACATGACAAGGAAGATGTTAGGAAGATTCAGAAAAGCAGTAATAAGGATCAGGATAAAAAAAGGAACAATTTCAGGAGTATTTTAGGTAAATCAAACCCCTATCCTGCAAGACCAAAAATTGCAAATGTACAGTAATTGTTTTTGGCTACCTCAGTCTGTGGCTGCAAGGTTTTCAGACGATTGTAGACGGATACGTCGTTCTTTCTCCAAAACCAGGTTTTCGAGGTCTTGAGCTTGGCTGTCTCTTCCGCTTGGCTGCGTTGGTCACGGACAACAAATATCTCGAGAAGAACACCTTGGCTGTCTCCTTTTGTTCCCTCATCACAACATCCCAACACCTGCAAGCAGGGTCCAATTGATGTCCAATTGAACATATCAACCATTGCATGGGACGAGTGCTTCATTTACATCCGGGTGTGCTTCATGGCCAAGCGGCACAGCGGGGCCGAGTGCTTCCTCCAGTCCCGGACTCGGCTGCGCCGCTTGGCGCCCGGACCCATTCACGCTGAAAGCCCGTGTAGTCCTCAAAGCCCGGAGAGATCCAAACCAATGGATAGTCCTGCAGAGTCTGTGAGGGTCCTTATCGATATATATATATATATGTATATTATACTTAAAATATCAAATATTATGTGTTGGTTTGTTTTTAAAATACACAATGACACAACTGTCGACATTGACCTCCAAAAAAAGCATGTCTCTGTGCAAGAAACATGTGGAACAGACGTTTCTGCCGATCAGTGGAACAGGCCCCTTTGTGACCTTGACCTGGGATACCAAGTTCGGTCACTGACAAAGAACCAGGGCCATATCACTGTAGCGAAGTTGCGACATATCAAATAGTCGCTGCCACGGTGTATGCCACGGTGTTGGCCAGGTATGTACTCTCCCTGGAACTAACATGGAAGTAGAAATAAACAACCAGAATGGTCTTCCAAGGGGCCATGCCATCCACTTCCATGTGAGTTCCATGTGTTGTATATATACCAGGACCATATTATGCGCACGATGTACCTATAAGCCTCCATTGGGCACCCCTTGGATGGTCCAGATTTCTATATATGATATTTAGTTAAGGCCTGGTCCTTGTTCAAGAAATTATTGTTTACTGACTGTTACAGGTAAGAACGGACAGACCCGAGTCTTCCTTCGACCTCCGGAGGCCTTGATTCCGTCCATCGGTGTGTGGACGTGTATCTAGATGCGACTGGAGTTCCAACGTATGATCGTTCTATTGGCTGATCTAAGTTGTAGGACATTGCAGGGGATTGATCTGTTATTCTTAATCTTCCAGCGGAAAGAATGGATCGTTGCTTTTTGGGGTGAACACCCCGCTGTTTTTCACTGCGATTGCTGATGCATGCCCACAATCACTAGGACCACTGCTTCTTCAGCAAAGCACGGAGTCTGGTACTTACACCGCATCCAGTTTGCCAAGGTGTCCCTTTCCAACACCGGTGCTGGAGGAGGTCTCGTGAAAACATCATAAAACATCTACAGTGGCATAAACCAAGTACCAGAAAAGTGCTGGACATCAACTCGTGGTGTTCTGTGGCCAAGTGGCCTGGAGGGTGCCAATCAACCATTTTGGTGCAAGAAATACTCGCAACAACTCCCGCCAAACATCCACAATTCCCGGCAAGTCCCATGCAAAATCCAGACTTTCTGGCACTTTCGTTGGTGTAATTGAAACCTGTTTCTGTTAGATACCGGCAAGTCCAGACCTTTTTCATATATAGAAGCCTATAAATCTGAGGTCCAATTCAGCCCTCAGAATTCGATCTCTTACATCTTTGTGAAGCACGAGGGATTCTTTTGATTGAAGCGGGCCACCGACCATGAAAACGACGACATGAGATTTCGCCGAAGCAATGGACTTCTTAAGATCACTGGAATCAACCATGACGAATCCTATCCTAACCGATCTCAAAACAAAACAACACCGACCCAGAAGACCCAGACGCCGATCTCACTTGTTCTTCGTTCGCCGATCTCTCACTGATTCTCCCCCGACCACACGGCTCTCGACCCACGTCTCCGGACCGACGACGACGACGGTCCTCGCCCTCTGGATCCACCACGGTCATAATCACTTGGTCCATCTTGCCCTGGTCACGTCGGTGGGGAAAGGGGAAAGACCGGGGAAAGACCCGGTGGACGGTGAAACACCGCTGAAAGAATGCCACTCAAGACTCAAGCGGTTTCACCAGCTCCATGAGCCTGGTTCGTTTGTTTAAGTAAGGTCACCAAGCCAAAAAGCAAATCTGATTCTGGATAGAAACAGTTGGAGTGATCTCCACTCCAAATACAAGGATGCTGTGGCTTCCACACTCCAGCCAGCTCCATTCGTTCCTCCTTCCTCCCTTCTCTCGCCGAGTGTCTCGCCGACCTGCCTCTGCCTGGTCATCCTGCAGGACCCTCTGCAGGTCGCTGCGCAGCACCTCCAAGAGACTCTCTAAGACCTCGGTCGTCGCGCACCTCGTCGTCAGCGAAGCGTAGGGATGTCAACCCCTGAAGCACTGCACATGCAAAATTACACATCCCTAAGAATCCTTGGGCTCTCCATGGCAGGGGTCGGACCCTCCATAGCAGGGGTCCGGACCCTCAAAACCCTATCTGTTTGAGGGCCCGGATTCTTAGGGATGTAAGAAAAAGACAGGTGTTCCATCGTCCAGTTTGCACTGGCTCAGGAATCTCTTCATGTCCGGAGCTCACATCCACATCGCTCACGACCGACGAAGGCAACCGTGGGTGACCTCTCCAACTGACGGGTGCTTAGTAGGGAATGAATGGGAATGACCCCTCATTATGGATACCCTGTGGATACCTTCTGGATACCCCATGGATGCCTTATACTTATGATACCTTATGGATACCTTATGGATCCATTCCCTCATTCCGTTTTCCAAGTCGCACCAGTCAGCTAAAAAATAATCTGTCGCCAAGAGACCCCTTTGAAGGCATGCACTTCTACCAGTCCTTGCTGGAGAGACCCTGCACTGAAGAAAGCAAGTGGTACCAAGACAACGATGACCGATTAATGCACTAACAAAATCCAACAAACTTGAACCGATCAAGGCAGGTTCATGAACAATGCGGCATAAACCCAGATTTCATGCCCTGCCAGGGATCTTTAGCTGCAAACACCATCAATGTTGAAGACATGATTTCCGGCGCCCAAAAAATCCCTTCACGCCGCATCTCCCCTCCGTCCTATCTTTGGTACAAAGAGGTCGCCGACATAGTCCTGACTATGTTCAAGGAAAGACATTGTGGTCCCACCTCATCCAAACCCTGTACCATCAGTCTTTTTTCCTTGTCTGCTGTGACAGGCATGTGTTCGCTGACATTGGGTACATCTCTTGCGGTCATTGAATGCAAATTCGCTTGGCTACTACATATAGACATGATATTATGGCATGACAGTGGTACGAAGTGCCTCACAACACTTCTACCAGCGGATGGCCTCTCATGGCCGAATTCACGTTCTTTCGGCCATGCTTCGTTCGGTAGACCTGACTGCCGATCCTCATCTTCGTTCCATGGGTCTCTACAGATCAGTCAGCGGAAACCGCGCACGACCCAACGGCCGCTGATCCCATGGTCGCGCCGACGCCTCGCCGGTCCGAAGGAAGGCGGCAAAGTGCGCGGAATAGTACTCGCACGCCTGGGCGCGCGGGTTCGGCGCTGCGCGCGGGTTCGGCGCGGCGCATGATCGGCACGCAGGCAGACACTGGCAGACACCAGCACGCCCTGGAAGCATGGAATCCAAATCAAATTGTTTGTTGTTTTATGTGTAACAACATCGTACTGTAAATGTATGAATCCGTAAGATAAAGGATGATGAAACCATGTCACATGCATGTTCATTATAGGCTAACAGGTCCCCAAATAGGGAGTGAAAACTCGGCCCAAAACATTCTTGGACGGGCGACTGTTCTAGCCATAAAACCTGGGGTCGCCATCTCCAATCAGAAGTTGTGATCACAGGACCACTATGCCGCAGATTCCGAGATCTCAAGCGGTGCCCAGTTCAGTTTCCGGGTTTGCTAGCTCTTTCTACCAAAGCACGTGGATCCACGCTAGTATAGGTTTCAGGCCATCCCTAGTAAGTAGGTTGGAGGCCATCACTAGTAGGTTGGAGGTCATCACTAGTAGGTTGGAGTCCATCGCTATCAGGTTGGAGGCCATGGCTATTAGGTTGGAGGCCATCGCTATTCAGTTGGTGTGCTGCAGTGCTTGGCACAATGAAAGGTTCCTGCATTCATGATCGTATCACTAGTGCTACAGCAACCCTAGGCAACTGCACAGTATATTGTTGTACTCGTTTTTCAACCTGCATATTGACTTGCACTTTTGTAAATTTGAATCATCCTCCTGTCCAAGCAGGACTTTGGCAAGTTCCAACACATCTTCTGTGCAACACTGCACTGAATGCCCACCTGCTGCCCATCTTGGTGCGTTTTGATTTCGGATGAATGAATCCTTAACGGTTTGCCCGCACCTTCAGCGGATCTGAGAGCATCAATGGTTTGCCAACAGAGTCCTGGCCACGAGCAACTTCCGGGGAGAAAAAAGGGGTTATTGTGGCTACGGGTCATGGCTCCCTTGGCTTTTCCTGGTTGGCCACCCAACATGAGCAGAATCGTGTACACTGACACCCACCGACCCCTCAGAATCTTTTGAGCCGTCCAGTCCAACTCTGTCGCGGCGCCATCTTGAAAGGCCTGTAGTCTTTTGCAAAACTGGTATATGCAGCAAATGTGTTGACCGGAGGCCTGAGGCTCCCCTTGAGGCTTGCCGATTCAAATAGGATTGCACTACTGAATATCTCCCAGTCAGGAATCCTGGAACAAAGCAAACCGATTCGGGCTCTAGCTGCTAGCTGAATATCAGATCTTATTCGCTCTTGCAGCTCTTGCTATTAATTGAAAAAGAACTTGCACTTATTCTGATTAACACCGTACTTAAAAACCATGGCAAGCGGGGTCATCATCGTGCCCATTGGGCATTCACAAAAAGCCGAAATAAGTTGGAGTCTACTAAAGCATACTAAAGCTATTAAAGCTAAGGATGCTTGCGTGAGGACAGCAATTCCGTCTGCTCACTTTCGCGTCGTTTGAAACCCCACACGTCCTCGCGCTCCTGAACCAGAAACACGCCCCACTCATCTAGCGCCTGAAGCCGTGTGTGGCTGTCATTGGGATCTGCTTCCACTGATCGAAAAGGACCCTGGACTCACCACCAACAGCGGGGAAGGTCGGCTGGGGAAGAGACCTCAAAATCCTCAGTTGTGGGTCTGATGTGGCAACACGGCAAACGGATTTTCTGTGCTGCCCACATGTGTCCACATAGACTAGATCGATAGAAATGTTTGCTTTTTTGTAGACAGTCTGGTTTAGTGAAATCCTGATTGGGGAGCACAACTCACTAACCCCCCCCAAGCCACGGCCTGTAGTCTCCTCTAGCTCTATGAGCAGTTGGATGCACATCTTCGTCTCTGGGAGCTTTCCAACGGATTCAAAACAACGCTCTCCATGTCATTCGCACCCTTTCCACAGATGTCCGGCCAGAACTTCCAGGCAGTGGACCGCACCTGCTACAAACCCAGCCCCCCAATCGCTTGCGCCCGGCTCCGCCCCTGACCATGCCCATCTCATCTTCGTTGAGCTCGGTGATCTGCGTCGCGGCGCGCTCTGCCCAATCAGAGTCCGAGTCCAAGACGCAAAGAAACGGACTCTAAACGGGTGCACGAGCAGGATTCTCGAGCAACACAGAAGTGGAAGAACTGGAACTGTGTTTCTTTTTGGTGGTGCTCCACTTCAATCCATGCTCGTTGTGGGTGAAGTACAGCCAGAAAACTAAAGCACCATCATCAGACTTATAACATCCTGAAGGGGAAGCACCCAATGAAAACAAAACAAATCAAAACAAATGTCCAGCACCGAAAAGAGCTGAGACAGCTGAGACAGCTCAGCCGTTTGAAGGTCTGTCTACCTATGTTGAAGAGCTACCACGGGTGGAGCTGTCTAGCTATGTTGAAGATCTGTCCACCAAACCCGAGCTCCTTCGCTCCACCCGGCGGGGAGTAGCTCAGTGACCCGCCTGGTGCGACTTCAGTACCGCCGGCATGGAGAGCTCGATGAGGTGGAGGACCTCGGTGGGGAACGGGCCAGAAAGGGGGGCAAAACAAGAAGGGTGACACCGGTCCCTGAGAGTTGAACCGTTGAACTATGTCAAGTTCATCTGGGATTTGTTCACAAGTCAATTGTGCAATTTTGGTTGAACTACCAGTAGACCAGTAGCTGAAATGTCGAAAACACTCGAACACACATGAACAACGACCCCCCCCCCCCCAAGCTTTCCAATGGGAATCCGGTCTCTTCTTCACCGTCGGTCGAAAGTGAGTCGCTCTCTTTTTCTGGCCCCCTCGACCCTGGCAGGTTCGTTCTCGACCTTGAAAGGGAAGGAACATGACGGATCCGTCGTTTAAGTGTCTGTTCTTTTAGGGCGAACGCTTCGTCGGTTCGCTTCGTTTCGGTTCGCTTCGTCTCGTCGGGTGCCACGTAGTAGGGTCCAGTCAGACCGGCCCAAAAAAAAGGAGGTACGACTGGAGCCCTAGGGTGTGCTTTTGGAGGAAAAGGGCGGTTGTGGACAGCATTCTGGGTTTCTCTGCCACCAGAATGGATCAAAAAGCACGACAGAGTTGAAATTCTGGCGATGAGTCCCAAACCGCATGACACGGGGGTATGCAACATTTTGATGGGCCGCACATGTTGCGAACCAAGCAAACCTGGGCGGCCCGGTCTGAGAGCAAGTAGGCCCGGTCCGTCCGTGGCTCCTTCAAATAGAACCTGAAGGACGGGTGCAGCGGTACGGCTGTGCGAATGCCGCCATGTTCACTGCTACTTGAGCTGATGTTGGTAGTAGTGAATGAGGGAATTAGCCGCCCCCAAAAGAGATTCCTTTGGGTCCGAGTCCATTCCCTCATTCCCTACTAATATCTACTTTAAGCACGCACGCAGAAACTTGGATACTGATTTTGAAAATTTCTGAACCCGCCATGTCGTGTGTTCCGCTAGGTACTGAGCTTGCATTGACTCAATCCTTCGTGAAAACCCGCGCCCGAACACGGCCCCGATCAGCGCACGTCTGCTGCACGGCAAAGAAGCGCTTGCCGCTCTGGCATTCTAGGAGAAGTAACGAGGCCTAGCCACGGGCTTTCCACCGACGATCTCGGGTGGTCCAAATGGAACACGCTTAGGGCTTAGGGTTTATACATAGATCGCAAAAGCACCATCGCTTTAAACAAAAATGATCTGTTACAAAGTCACAAAGTCACAGGCCCATCCTTTGACCGGATTCTAGTGGAATGATGTGAATGAATGATGTGTGTGACATCGCTCGGCTTCCTCTTTCTCCCCAGCTTCACGACGCATCGTTCGCCGTTCGCCGTTCTGTGCCACCCAGGCCATGACATCTCCGTGACTCCTGCGGAGAAAAGGAGGGCCCGGCGGTGTGGTGGCGTGAAAACAACAGAAATGGGTCTTCGGTGTCCAAAATCCACCAGGACCCAGGAATGGAGCCATCTGGTTTTTGAGCCATAGCCAGAGCTAGCCAGAGCTAGAGACCTCAAAAAAGGCCATTCGGTCGAAAGAACCGTCTGTTCACAAACGGTCACCAGCCATGGTCATAGCCATGGTTTCATGACATATCATATACGTGCCACTCTGGGACATCAGATTGAATGGTACACAGTATATTGGAGCAGGTTCGAGAGATTAGTCCAATGCAGTGCAACCCTGTATTGGCGCCAACTATAGGGGACCTGATTAGGCTCAATATAGGGAGACCCTCCCCGAGACCAGGTGTTCAGAAGGGAAATGGACCAGTCTACCCATTGTCATAGGTTAGAATAAAATACACGCCCAGTTCACTTCTAGATCTATTTGCGATCAACAGCTCAGTAACAGCTTGGCGAACGTTCGGCTGATAGTTTTTCCTGCCATGACCATCCAATCAGTCACCGGATGTACTACCCTGAACACACTACTTGTGAACCTCCGTTAACACCCCTTGGACTTGGATACTTCTGGTAGGTTGTGGTGTGCGTTCGCGACATCCACGTTCTGCAAACCGACAAGATGGGTGAATTTGAGTTCCAAGGATTCGGGACCCCACACATCATTACATTGAAATGACTTACCAGGAGTCACATGGCGGGGTGGTTTTTAGTCCCATCCAGTGAGTGGATAATGGGCACCCCTATCTTCCACTAGGCACCCCTTTGTGACTGCTGGAATAAATCCATTTATTGGATGTTTGGCCATCAATCGTCTTCTGTTGAGCAAAGGGTTCTGAGATCACGTCTTTCCGCTCAAAATGTATAGTTCAAACACAAATAGCAGGTCTCGTGCGCCAGCTCTCTTTTCCAGTGATCACATGAATCACAACATTCTATGAACCACGCCAAACAGTTTTAAGACATAACAAAGGACAAATCATGCAAAAACCATGCTTCACCATGCTTCCCCAAGTCCAGCCTGTTCTGTGTGCTGAACTCTTGCAAGCGCATCTGCCTGTTCCGTGTCTCCCAAAATAGAAACTTCATGGTGGTCTCAAAAATAGATCATTGATCTATAGTCAAACATGTGTTTCTAGCAAAATGGAAGTTTGGTTTTTGCTTTTCTTTACCATGGATTCACGTTCTGTATCTCTCAGCCACAAAACGTGGAGGTGAAAATTCGTGTTGGAAACAAATAGATTTGGGTTCAATGTCCACGCACGTGACGTGTATCCCAAACCTCTCTTGGGAGATGAACAGCGTGAGACATAGACTGGGGGACACTTGCGGCACTGCTGGCAGCACCTGACAGCCTAAGGTCCAGGCTCTTCATTGTTGATCGCTTGATCAATGCGCTGCTTCTTGGGCCTTCGAACGTGATGTTTGGATTTCTAGATCGCTGGGGTGGGTGGGCGACTGTCAGGATTGATTTCTTATTATTCATATACATATATATATATATGCATACATGATAATCTGAAAGCGATTATGATACATAATCACATTAAAGGATAATACATGATAATACTGCACTATAGGGAAAACTCATGCTCCTTCATAATTACATACAGTCGACAGTCATACTGAAGTATACTGAAGTACTCCTGCATTGTGTTTGCAACCACCATATAAACTACCCTGCCTTCCAGGCCTTTGCAAGAACCTCCAAACCGCTCTTACGCCACATGCAAGACTGGTAGTACACTCTGCGCCCTGTTGTCTATCGTCGGTGGGAAAACAAGTAAATTCGAACAACCAAAACTGATCAACACCATTTAGATTTCGAGAGATTACTAGCTTACGGAATCCAACACATCAGGCTTCCCTGAAGTCATCAACCCCAAAACGTCCGAGAATAGCTGGCGCTCGTGCTGGAACAGCTGCACGTTCCTTGCTGGAACAGTCGGCAGAATGCATGCTGTTTGGAAATCCGAGAAACAAGGAGTCAGGTCGTCCCCAGTGGATCCTGCTTGGCCCATTGTTGTGATGTTCACATGATGTCCACTGTTACCTTGACATATTCCCCCATTCCAACGAGGGTCTCAGGATCCTGTTGAAGCGTTCGTTGGATTTCAGCAAACACTCGGAGCTTGCGAGATTTCAATGGGCAGCCCTTTTCGGCTTGGCACATATATATGTGTTTGGCTCCAAAATCAGCACTCGTTCTGTCGAGAATGGTTCAAAAAAACCAAGCAACTCCTGGGACCAATCCATATCAATCCCCCCCCAATCATGGCACCGGTCATCCGCACGTCGCGGTGTCGTCTCCACCTCCCAAGGCTGGAGACCCGGGTTATTTCCGGTCCTGGCGAGTGCGAAGTCCGCCAGAAAGCCCGTGAGCTTCTGCAGTGCATGACCTGAGGTGGTGCGGAGGTGCGGTGAAAGTCGGTGTAAGGAGGATCGATCAATACCTGAGGGGATCCAAATCACCAATGGTCAGGATTGGTGAGGATGGAAGCAAAAAGGGTCAGGAGACTTTTGCAGTTCCCAAAGGCCAGGTCAGGTGCTATCTTTGGAGGGTTGGAAGAAAATGAAAAACATGTCTTTGGGATTTGAGACACTTCTGAGGGGGGTGCTGTAGGTGGTACCATCGGTCAGTCCTTAGGATCTCAAAACACGTGCGGCCGGAACAACATCAAACACCCCAAATGATCTGGTCATTTAGTCCAGTCCATGTTGGAGGTTGAACATCCACAACTTCACCTGGGCGCCCCCCTTCAACTTAGATCTTCGGAATCCAAAGGTGTTACCGCATGGACCTGGTGAAACGTACCCGACCAACGACCCCGTCCAGTGCTGAAGTCAAATGCATGTTCTTTGAAAGGTCGTCCACATCTTTGGGGCTCATCTCTGAGGGGTCCACACACGGGTGTCGTGTGTCGTGTGAACACATTGAAGAGTGTCGTGTGACATGATCGCCCGAAAGAACTACGTCAGGGATCGATGAAGTGACACAGCCACCGTCTATGTCTGTCTGTCTCTGTCTCTGTCTCTGTCTGTCTCTGTGTCTGTCTGTCTGTCTCTGTCTCTGTCTGTCTGTCTGTCTGTCTGCCTGTCTGTCTGTCTGTCTGTCTGCCTGTCTGTCTGTCTGTCTGTCTGCCTGTCTGCCTGTCTGCCTGTCTGCCTGTCTGCCTGTCTGCCTGTCTGCCTGTCTCTGTCTCTGTCTCTGTCTCAGTCTCTGTCTCTGTCTCAGTCTCTGTCTGTCTGTCTGCCTGTCTCTGTCCCTGTCTCTGTCTCTGTCTCTGTCTCTGTCTCTGTCTGTATGGATGTATGGATGTATGGATGTATGCATGCGTGTATGTGTGTATGTGTGTATGCACGCATGCATGTATATATGTATGTGTGTTTTTCTGTATGTACGTATGTATAGCACAGTATAGTATAGTAAAGTATAGTATAATATTATGTTGTATAATATTATTGATATTATTGTTATGATTAGTAGTATTACTATTAACATTAGGATTAGCACTAGCATTAGTATGAGTATATATATATAAGCTATAGTCAAAATTGTTGTTTAGAGATGTTTAGTGGGTATCCATTTTCTTGGATGTCCCGTATCGTTTCCCAACACTCAAAATCACAGTCTTGGATAAATCACCCTTGTATAAGGTACATAATGGTGCTACTGAAAAAAAAACGACACATATCATGTATTGAGTCATGTGTGTGTATATCATGCATGGTACAGTACACAGTATATCACTATATATCATGTATACCAGCGTTGCTGAAGGTGTCCTCTCACCCAAACATCCCCAAAGAAGAACGGGTCCAAGAGGCTCAAAAAGACCAGTGGCAAATCTCTGGACCTCACATCCGCCACCCAGCAGGCGAGGCCCTCCTCCTGGCGAGGCGGTGCAAAGCGAAGATAGCAAATGTTGCAGAGATACAACAAGTTGAAGTACAAAAGCAAATGCGGGTCCACACCGACCAATGATGAAGTCAGAACGGGGCGGACATGTGAAGCGTTTCCCAATTAAACACAAGGACAGGACAACCTGGACATTGACATGCCAAGGAACAGTCAGGCTCCTCCAATTTCAGGAGACACCCTTCCATTCCGACGCTTTGACATCCCGCATGACCCAAACGGGAAATGCACAGACACCAAATCCACAAAACACACCACCCATGGAGCTCCAAAGACCTCTGCAGGTACTTTTGGAGCCTCACGCCAGTTCCACCTTCCACCTTCCGGAGCTGGAACTTTAGAACACCGGTGGTACCATTCGGGTAGATCCGATCCGGGATTCAGCCCACCTGGTCAAGCAGTGTGGGGCGCATCATCTCTTCACGTGGCGGATTCTTCAGGCGGAAGAGCAACCTGCCGGGTCAACGCATGTTTTCAAGTCCACCCTGGTTTGGCGTTTGTTTTGGGGCATCCCACAGCCCTTGTGTTTGGGTCACATATGATCACATATGGTCACCTTTGTTTAACAGGAAGAGACGTGAAAAACCCAGTGGTTGAGTACCAGTACCAGCTGATGAAGATTCAATGTCATCAGCTGAAGTCTGTCCCTACCTGGGCATTCGAACTGAAAATGTTTCCTTTGAAGGTCTTTGAGTTGCACCAGTGGTAAAAATGCAAAAACCATCCAACCCCCCCTCTGCCCCAGAGGTCAGGGTTGCAGAATGGACATGTACACGTCCCCTGAAGATTCTACTGGATCACCCCAGCTCTCCAGCGGCGCCTCACGAGATGCGGCCAAAGACCCTGAAAGTCGCGCACGGGTGCCAAGCCCACACGTGGCACAAAATGTTGACCCACCATACCTCGGCGGTGATACACATGGCAAAAACCGTCGCAAAACGCTACCAAAATGGACTAGTAATTAAGTTAAATCCTATGGATGATGGAACCTCCAATCAAATGTGTTTTCTATGAAGAAAATTCGGTGCCAGCCTAAACCACTCAGTCCATCCAAGTGTCAGCTGGGAGCTCCACGACCACTGTCCAAGAGCCAAGCCTTGTCCCAGGGACACGACCGTATCGTGGCGATGCATTGCATCAAAAACGTCGTCGTTTTAGTAGTGGTGGTGGCGGTGGTGGTGCTGGCAGTAGTAGTAGTAGTAATAGTAGTAGTAGTAGTAGTAGGAGCAGCAACAGCAACAGCAGCAGTAGCAGTAGCAGTAGTGATGGTAGTCGTTGTGGTAGTGCTAGTGCTAGTGAATGCCGTGGTGGTTGTGGTCGCAGTCGTGGTCGTTGTGGTCGTTGGTGTTGTTGCCGTTGCCGTTGCCGTCGCCGTCGCCGTCGCGGTTGTGGTTGTGGTTGTGGCTGCGGCTGTTGTTGTTGTTGGTAGAGACAAAAACAGCTGCCCAACATAGTTGTCACATGTTGCAAGTCAGGGATTTCAAAGGGACACTGTTAGGGATAGGGTCGAATGTTTGGAGAGATGTTAGTAGCTGGACTTCTTGTCGTTGTGGTACTCAAGTCTTGGTTGGTCTGTTTCTTGTTTCTAGATGTTTTTTGGGATGTTGTTCTGGAGGGGGGTCAAAAAACAACAACGGGGCTGCAGATTTTGTTTCTAGGGGGGGTAGAGACAACAACATCTTCTGAGGGGGGGCTAAAAAAAACAATAACGGTGCTGCAGTTTTTGTCTCTAGGATGTGGTAGAGGTTCTAAGTAGAAGTTTTACAGAGGCTTAGCTGACCGGACTACCACCACCACCACCACCACTACTACTGCTACTACCACTACCACTACGACTACGACTACTACTACTACTACTACTACTAGTACTACTACTACTACTACTACTACTACTACTACTACTACTACTACTAC